AAGCAGGCATGGCATGGAAAAACGCTAAGGCCTTTACCGCATGCCCAGTTCTGGCAAATGCCAAGAGCATTGCATTCCAGGACACCATGTTTCGGTTTGGCATTTGGTGAAAGATCTTAACTGATTCCGTAAACTGTAGATGGTGCGTGAATGCTGTTAACTTTGCATTCCAAGAGATTAGATCGTGATAAGGCGCACTATCAAACATCAATGTCGACAGTGACAAATGGCCGGCTTCGGCATACGCGGAAATTAGAGCATTCCAGGATACTTGATCCCTTCCCGGCATAGAATCAAAGCAAAGTTTAGCGGATTCCAAATCGCCGCGCTCGGCATAGGCAATGAGCATTGTGTTCCACGAAACAAGATCTCTCACTGGCATGGCGGCGAAAAAGGCTCTAGCCTCCACAAACTTTCCATGCTGAGCATTTGCAAGAAGCATAGCATTCCAGGCGATGATATCCCGCTGCGGCATCTGGTCGAATGCGTTTCTAGCAGCAGCGAGATCGCCATTTTGGGCGAAGGCGACAAGAAGCGCTGTCCTTGAAACGACGTCAAAATCCGGCATGGAATTAAATACTTCTTGCGCCTTTTCCAGATCTCCACTCTGGCCATACAGGCAGATCATGTTCGTCCAGGACACGAGATCACGCTCCGGCATTGAATCAAAAAGTTTTCTCGATTCCTCCACCATCTCGTGCTCCAAATCCCTGGCAAAATTGTAAACGAATCCACACAGCATCCCATTGAACGACACAAGATCTCGCTCAGGCATCACTTCAAACATTCCTCGCGCCTCTTCCAGACATCCGTGGATGGAGAATGCCGTGAACATCGCGTTCCAGCACACCATGTCCCTGTAGGGCATAGAATCAAATATGTAACTGGCGCCAACCAGATGCCCAGCTTGAGAATATGCCAAGAGCATAGTCGTCCACGATGATAGATTCCTTGCAGGCATTGACTTAAAAAATCTTCTAGCGTCCATGAGATTCCCGTTTCGGGTGTGGGCCGAAAGCATTGCATTCCAGCAAATTTGATCAGCGCGAGGCATCTCGCTAAAGATTTTAAGCGCTTTAGAAAGATGCCCCAATTGGGCATATGCCACAAGAATAGAGGTTTTGGCCACAATGTCTTTAAACGGCATGTATTTGTACATATCCTCGGCATCACCAAGGTGGCCACTCCGTGCGTATGACACCAACATGGCCGTCCATGATGCCGGGGACCTTTGTGGCATCTCATCAAAAACGTACTTTGCCTTTTGAATATGCCCGTTTTGGGCATATGCCGAGAGCAAAAGATCCCACGAGAAGGAATTCTTATCTTGGATTCCCTCAAAGACCAAGCAAGCATCGGAGATGCTGCCACATCTTCCGTACATTTGTATGAGGAGATTGGAGAGGAAGACCTGGGAGCCGGGAAAGTGTTTGAGACAAGGAAGAACTCGCGAGTGAGTGGACTTGGCCTGGGCGATTGTTGTGGAGGATTTGATGAGAAGAACGCACTTCTCTAGATCGAGGCAAGGCTCTCGTGCAGCTGCCGGATTCATGCTTGTTGCTGCTGGAGATACATGGTCTGCTGGCTGTCACCAGCGGATCACTCATGCAATAGATTCTTTTTTTTGCAGCTCCTGAATCTGGGTGGGTGCTATGCAAGCATAACACTAACATTATACAGCAAGTACATACAAAGGCATCATGTAGTCCTTGAGAATGCCCATCTTAGCATTGCTGTTGATCGTCTCATTGGCCTTGCAGAGGAGAGCCTTGCAATACGCCCATGCATTAGCGTGATGGATTATGGAGGTGGTGTTGGAAAAGTCCTAGAAAAACTCCCAAAGCTTCTTTTTCAAAGATGGTAAGCTCAAGAAAACAACAAAGACTTATCTCCATCATCCGGCAAAAGAGCTTCCAGATAATTAAATTATGTTAGCAAC